TGGAGTCCTTCAGATTTCCCAAATCCCGGGGCTCACAGGAGGCCCTTTTGAGAGACCCTGAAACAAAGTGCTGCGGGTCAGCCTCAGACCCACCGATGCTCTCCCAGGTGGACACTGGTCAGCCCTGGCCTCCATGGGCATCCTGGTCCGCTCCCCCTGTGGCATCTGCATGGCCCCCTGTCTGTCCTCCCCTCTGCCCTCAGTGGAGAGGAAGGTCCCAGGCCTGTGTGTCTGTAGGCAGCCCTGGCTCCCTTTAGCACCAAGTGCTGCAGGGTCCTGGGGCGGGGAGGGGACTTTGGCAGAAGGCTGAGGGCTGAGCTGAATTCTGGGAAGCCAGTGTGGAGAAGGGACCTGGGGAATGTCAACACCTGGCCTGCTGGGAAGCCCCACCCTAGCCCCAGGGCACCCACCTGCCCCAAGTGGGACATGCCGGCTGGACCAGAGACACCAGAGAGTTCACGTGCACAGCACAGCCTGCGCAATTCGGAGGGCAAAGCTGACCCAGGAGTGCCACCCGCTGCTCCCTGGGCACTTCCCTCAGAGCCCGTGAGGCTGCACGACCAGTCGTTGAGAGAGAACCTGATGCCACGCCTCATGGCACACGGGGTACCCGCAGAGCCTGTTCCTGCAGTCGGGCTGGGCCTGCCCAGACTCCCGGGCCTTCAGGATTCCTAAATGGTAATGGAGCCCAAGGCTGCCCACAAGAGGGACAGCAGCCTCCCAGGGCTGGGGGCCGGGGAACAGGCTAGGGATGCCAGGCAGCCATCGGGACCTATGACCTCCGTGCTGGCCACTCGCCCCTTGAGCTTCCTGCCAGCAGCAGGAGCCACCCGGAGCTGGACAAGGGGCCAGCCCAGGCTCAGACCCACACCAGGTGGGGAAGGGGGCTGCCTGTGGAAGGCCAGGCCCTGGAGCGGCCCCGCTCCACCCGTGGGCCTTCGGGCTGTGCCTCCAGAGCCCGGCTTGGAGTCCAGCAGCATGTGCCTCTGGTCAGCCTCTCCCAGTCCATGGGTCTTAGGGGCCCAGTCCCCAGGCCTTCCATCCTCAGGGCAGGAGGCTCCCCCTGGAGGAGCTGCCCGTCCCTCTCTGTAGCCGCTGCGAGACCATCTTTGAACCCACAGCTACCCTGGGCTGAACAGGGTGGGTCTCCCCCGGAGACTAGGGGTGGGGACATCTTCAGCCCCCCAGCTCTCTGAAGGGCGTACTGGGCGTCCAGCAGGGATGGCCATCTGTGACCTCCGGCCTCTGGGTTGTTTGCTCCTGGCCTTGCAGTCTGTCTGGCTTCAGCCTCCACCTGGCCTCAAGCCTCGCCCCCCGCCCCCGGGCCCTGGCCACCCTACCTCCTCCGTGGCTCTGGCACAGGTAAGGGAAGCGCCACACGTTGCCGAGGCCCACGCAGAAGCCCACACAGGTGAGCATGTACTGGGTCTTGTTGTCCCACTGGGGCCGCGAGCTGGCCTCCTTCTCCTCGATGCTCTCCAGCTCATCCAGGGAAGTGATCCGGTCCTCCAGGCCCGGGTTGGGCAGCACGAGCCTCACCATGGTGGTCACTGAGCTGGGCCTGGCAAGCGCAGGCAGGACGGGAGCCAGAGGGCAAGTGGCGGTGGCTGGGAGCCCAGTGCTTTATAGGGAACCTTTGGCACCTCACCCGAGCACCTGGGTGGACGGAGGCGTCAGCAGATCAGCAGGGCGCGTCTCAGCTGCAGTTAATGCCTTATCTGCCCATCCCAGGGCCCTGGAGCCACCCCCTGCTGCAGACAGGAGGCCCGGCTGGCCGCCCCTCCCCTGTGCAAACAGACATGTGGGGGGAGTGCAGCCCCAGGCCAGGGCCAGGCCTGCTCCCTGGGAAGAGGGGCCCGAGGCAAAGAGATGGTATCTGCTGGCCCTGCCTGGCCCAGCAGGATACTGGTCCTCTGGGTCCATGGAGCAGCTGC